CCCCGAGTGCGCATGGTTCTTATGTACGGGCTCACGAGTTTTTTTTGCGGGAACCAGGAAAGCTAGAAAGCCGAAATTTTAAGGGTGTGTTTCCTAACAGTCCTGGCGGTCTTAATTTGTTTAGCCACAAGCATCTGCAGGAAAAACGGGCGCCTCTATCAACAAAAACCTGCGGCGAACTGTGCAGAAAAAGCATCTTCGCACCGGCAGTCGGTGCGCTGGCCATTTATTTAGTTGTCGTTTTTGTTTTTAAAAGTATTCCGCATAGTTCTTAGTTAAACCGCTTTTCATTTCTTTCCCCTTAATTTCTAGGATATCCTATGTGCGGAGATGTGTTCCGAAGAATCACAGGAGCAAATTGTTACATTACTCGCAACATTCGTTCACTCAAATGCAAATATGATCGGATCGGGATGGCGTCCACTGTTCAGCACTCTGAAGGCATTGCGCATCGAAAGTCACAATGGTACTGATAAAAGCTTGGTTATTTCTGGCCCTAGCATCTCGTCGTAGAGTGAAAGCAAGGCAGGGGAAGGAGGGGCGGGGCGACGGATTAGGCAGTACTGAAGCATGGTGAAGTGCAAACCCTGGCAACTCTAAGCATGTCGAAAAGGCACTGTGCCTCGATTTATTCAGCTAATTTGGTTAGCACAAACTAGTGTCCAGTTCAGATTCGCCTGACAAGTGGGTAATAATTCAGTAAAGATGTAGCAGCCATGCAAAAAAAGTAAAAAAAAAAAACGAATCCTTCACGCTAGGGAAAGTGGCGCGAGGGACATTAGTAGCACGGCTATCAGTAACAACGACATTAAAATCTCATAGGCAAACCTATCGTTTCCTATAGAAATCTTCTTGAAATAAATCCTTGGAATGTCTAGTACCAATTTCTTAAGAACAAGTTATGGATTGTTTAAATCCTCAGAAAGCCCGGCACCATTTTTTTTTGTAAGCAGTCGGCATGCATTTTGAATTCTTGGTGTATGCCTAGTATCAGTTTTTCAAAAGCAAGCAAGTATATGTTTGTTTAGATATTTTGGAATCCTAAAAATCCTAGTACCAAATTTGTAACGATCAGGAAGACCTGGGCCTGGGCGAAAAGCGCTCACACAAAAAACAAAACACCTCTTTATTAGTATGAGAGCGAAAATCAAAACAACTCGTTTTCTTCTTCCTTTTGCAAAAAATTTTTTAAAAGCAAGCTCAGGATGCACTAAGTTCCTAAAATGCTTAGTGCCAGTTTTTGCTAAAGCGAATCATCGTGTTTTATTGCATTTCCTGGTATTATCCGCAAATCAGTATGTAGAAGTGGGTTTGCAGACCTCGTTCCAGCCTTCTGTTTGCACGTATCATCATTGTTACAGATGCAGATGCTGACAACGATGATCAGCTGAAGACCGTTTCTTCAGTGCAGGCCACTGTTCTAGACATCTTTTCCGCATATCTCAATATCAGAAATACCAATGTTCTGCTGGCCACATTCCTGGATTATATCACCTGCGTTTTACAATATCTCCAATCCACGGAACCTGGTGAGAGCTTTTTTTTGATATATTTGTAAGTCTAGTTATGAACTGGTAGACTTGCTGAAGCAAATTTTGTTGGAATTTATTTTCTGTTGAAATTCGCTCAACTTTTCTTTTTAAAACCGGGATCTTTGATCTCCCCCCCCCCCTTCCAGCGGCGCAGGCGTCAGTGCTACAAAAGTTAGGGTCTAAATCTAAAACTAAAGAAAACTGTCTTCTACAGCTCCCCACTCTCTCTCCTCCCTCGTCCAGAAGCCTTTCCCTTCCCTCCTTCTCTCCTCCAATCCCTATAAGAGGTCGTCCTGGATACGCCTATGGTTGAGCAATTCAGTTTGCTAAATTTCGCAATTTGAGGCAAATAACCTAAACCAAGTCCCGCTGTGTCCTGACCTGTTAACTCATTTTTGAGTTTGCGGAAGAATGCAGTTGTGCCAGATGTTACATTTACGGAGATCATAATCCATAAAACTTATCATTTTTGCTTGGTCTGTTTTCGTCAGAAAGTCAAAACTTCTTCGTATTAGCTGTGTTTGAGACGCTGAAATACTTTGAATATCCCGAGTATAGCAGGTACAAGCGACAACCAGCACCTGACGGGACTTTCGATGGTTCCTTCCATCGAAGGTTGCTTACAAGCAAGCTGATGGCAGGTTTATCCCTTGACATGCGCTAGTATCAATTTACTGACAAGGTCCTGTCGCGGCATTGAGATAAGACGTATATGAATGAATGGATAGAAGCGCCTTATTTCATCCTTATCTTCTCTAAAATTATTCATCCATGCTGTAATCTTTTGCGCCTTTGCCTTTTGAGTTTCCAGGGTTAGTCTGAATGCTACAATTGGCTTACCATCGAAATGAATGAAAAAACTGTAAGGGAGTGGAACAGCAGTGTGGAAGGATTGGTCTTAAGTGCCATGTGGCGAAGTAGGGAGTCTGTGTTTTGTCCCTTAGCTGTAAACACAGACTGAGGGGTGTGTGCGGGTAGGAGCGAGAATCATCAGTACAGCCTTCTACTCGCCATGTTTTGAACGGTCATGTGGTTAATTTGAATGAGAGAGAAATCAAAGAGATCCTAGAGGGACCTGATTGATTTCCTCCACGCTGCTTATTACCAATACTGTCCGGATCGTAAACCGAGAATATCATGTTAGTGTGGCGCTGCCGGGACTTTTTCGAGAAAAACTTACCATTAGTATAGCTCGCTGAAAATAGCGAGAGAGAGCGCGGACAGAGTGAGAGAGGAGAGAAGAATGAGATCAACATGTACACGGAAATCATTATATGACAATTATGAGTGAACAATTTTTATGAGAAAAGCATGCTGACTAGGCGTTTAATTTCTGAATCATCGGGGAAGATAAATTTGGTAACTACTGAGCGGTTTCTGGAGCAGAATCTGAGAACGCAGCGTTCTGTTTTGGCAGTATGAAACTTTTTATGCCTACACATAGTTATAAGTCGTCTAGCCCAGTTGTGGAAATCTTCTGAAAGAGTGCGTATACGTGCATAACGAAGCAGTTACGATATAATGACACTTTCTTGCACCGTTTGGTCCATTTCGCTGTCTGGGCAGCCATCGTGATTTGCTGTGAATGGGTAGCCCAAGGTCTTGTTGTATACGCTGGAAATGCATCTGCCCTCGCGGCAGCAAATTTCGAAGTCTGGAAAGCAGGCCCTTTGTCCAGAGTAAGTGATGTTGAGTTGCAAGCTGAGCCCTCTCAACCCACTGGAACTCTCGATCTGCTACAAGACAACAGCAAAGCTCCACACTGCGCTGTGCCTCCCAACTAATGGTAATGCTTTTTTCCTAATAATTATACATATCCGAGATATTTTTAGAGGAAGAAGCGGCAGTCACGTCGACGAACATAACGGTCGCATCAACGGCTTTGCAAAATTTGCTAAAAGTAGAAAGAATGCTTCATGATTTGCTAAATCGAGCCGATACCGCTGATCCACATCTACTGCAAAGGTAATTGTATTCCACTTGGATTACTCGCTCTGTTGGTGTAGAACCTTCGATATTTGTAAGAAGTATCCATAAACCGTGGTCTTCTGGAAGGGGTTGCTTGTTTTTTTTTTTTCTCGTATCTGGAGCATATTCGTAATTTTTCGATTTTAAGATTTTCAATAAAAATATTTTAATGTTGAAACAAGAAGGAATTAATAAAACTTGAAATATACTGAAAAATATTTTCTAATGGTAAGCAGTGTTTCGGTGTATTAAGTCGTATGCGTTTCTTATCACCACCACAATTGGACCTCGTCAGTACGATGACTGTGGTAATTAGTCTTCAATGTTTTCTCTGTTTGAGAGATTGTTTTGAATCAAACTAAGGGTGGTTTTGGTTCTCTGCCGCATATTACTACCAAATTCTCGAGAAGTTTTTGCTTTAATTTCTTTTTTAAAAAGCATATTTCAGGCTAACAATGCGGGAACGAGATCAACAGTTTGTGGAACGACACACCGATGCTTCGTTTTTGGTCGAACCTTTGTCAACTGTTCTTATTGAAGAGCCATTTTTTGACGTTGTACAGCCGATTCTTCCAACTGATTTGGATCGTTTGTTGGAAGGTCTCTTTTTCGAGCTTTTTTAAAATCAAGTTACTACCCGCCTGGAAGAGGTTATCTCCGTTGTGAGGGATGCAGGCATACCTGGATTATCAGGAAAAGCTGCTAAATTGCGGTCTGGATCGGCATCTTTGCAGCTGGCAACTTCTCCAACTCTGTGTTTTTCGTATCCGCATTCAAATTAATGGATTAACTGTGCGAACCAATGGCATTCCTGGTCCAACCGGTCTGATTACCGCGATATTCATAGCACTCGCTGCTTTCTCCATGAAATTCTTCCCCAGAGCCACTACAAGGAGCTTTCACAGGCGCCTTTGGCTATTGCTGCATCGCATTTTGGTCAGTAATCCAAAATTGTAGTAACGTTTGCTTCGTTTTCTGAGGAATTACCAGCTTGATGCGTTTTTCCGGCAGAAACGCTTATAAGCGTTCTTCATCACCACGACTTTCCTCATCTCGGTGAGAAATCTTACGACTCCCCCTTTCGAAGGTTGCTTATAAGCAGACTGATGGCAGATTTGATTCCTTGGCAAACGCTAATACCAATTTACAATCGAAACGAATGAACGAGTCAATTCATAAGAGGATTGGTTGTCCCACTGGCGAGTGGCGAAGGTGCGATAGATTACAGCATGAGGGAACAGTCTGAGAAAAGAAAATAAGAGCGAGATAAGACGTTTCGATTCATTAAGTCATATGCATATTGATTGGAAGAAAATAAAACTGTTTGTGTTTTTTTAATTGTCGAAACTATATATGTCTTCTGATGTCTACTTTCAGTACCACAGACAAATTCACCATGGGAAAATTATACAGCGCCAATGCGAAGTTGTGTCGAGATTTATTTGTCGCTGCTTGAGGGCCTCACTGCTGTAACATTCGTTTGTCCTGTACCGCTACAATCAAATCTTTTGCGAACAATTGCCGATTTGATTGAAGCTCAAATCAGTACTGATTACGGTAGTGTTTTTTGTTTTGAGTTCCCAAAATTTGAAAAGCTGTAATTCCGGCTTTTTGTTTAAAGTCTGTACAAAATTTTCCGGAATTCGTTGACTAAAAATTAGCTCCTGCAAAGAATTCGTTGAAAAAAAAGACAGTGCTTCCAATAAAATTCATAAGTCCTGGGATTTTTAGCCTTTGGAGTTTTTTTTTTTGGTAGTGGCTTTATGCTAATAGCAGCTGTATCTCGGTATCTCGAATTTCCCAGGTAATTCATAGTGTGGTTCTGTAACTAGCCAGTTGGCAACTTTCCCAGTTGCTTTGACCAGTGCTGCATCGCTTGATTATGAGCCTGCTGAGACGGTCCTTGCATTCTTTTTACGTCCTGAAACGTAATCATTTTCTTCACAGAAGCATTTAAAAAGGCTTTAGCCGTTTTGAGATATCCATAAGACTGTACTGAGCCTCACCATCCTTTTTGTACGTTGGCAGTGTTAAGCCCCGACGAGGTATCTTATTTTTTTTTGTACAGAAGGGGCGCTGTTCGATCTGTTTTCTTGCACTGATGGTTTTTGCCGATGACCTCATACCCCTTCCTCTTTCAGTTTCCCAGTCGCAAGGTCCCGGTAAGCGTCCGTTTTGTTGCTATCACCCTTAACATTGCCATTGATAATCTGCAAAACTGAACAAAAATTGCAGTTTTGCACTGATGCTGTGTAAGTCGGTCGAGTTTTTTGGAGGTGTTGTTAAACGGGGGCAGTGTTTATCAAAACATTAAACAAAGGCACTTCCATTTCAACAAATTAAACTTGCTTTACAGTCGTTGCTGGGTGGAGTTCCGATTTTCTCGAAATACCGAATTCCATATCCGCTATCTTCTAGCCCTTCGGCCACACTCTAGCATTTTCTTTCAGGACCTAGTTGCACTTCAACTATTGCACCGCCTTTAGAAATGTATCATTTCAGTAATTTTGATGATCTAATAAAGGATGAAGGATTTTTGAATTTTGAATTTTTTTGATGCATTTTGAATTTTGAATGAGTAAGGAATTGAATTTCGAATTTTGAAACATGAATTTTAAATTTTGAATTTCGACCTTGAGGGATGAATTTTGGTGCATATGGCTTGTCGGTTTTGGTCTTTCCAATGCTACAGCGATGGTTGCGAAAAGAAACAGCCGAACATGAGAATAATCTTAAGCAAGCACTTGGCTTATGTACTGAAATTGTCAAACAATATGTGCTCCATTCTGAAGGTATACGTTCAAAAACTCTTTGTGAACTGTTTTAGATTCCATAATAGGCATATAAATAGCTTTTCAAATCTGGTATAATAAGCGCCAGTGTTTAGCTGATACATTTAAACAGGATATGCGTATAAATGAGATTTGTTTTATTCTGAAGAAAAAGTGGTGTCAGGATTAATGAACTAATTTACAATGCTTCTAAAGACAGAACGAGACTTCTAATAGCATCAACAAATTTTATCACAGAATGAGCAAATAAAAGCATTTTCAAGATTCGGTTACTGGGAAAAACGCATGAAATACTGCTTGTTACTTTTCAACGGTCTTGTAAAATCGAAGGTTGCTAAGCTTTTTCGACGCAAGTCGATTTACCAAATAAAACAGGAGCTGTGAGAAAAAAAAGCCGTTGGGAAATCAAAAACATAATAAAAATAGTTATAAATAGGCAAGGGTGGATAAAAATAAAATAAACCCAAAATAAAAGGGTTTTATTTTATGACGACATAAGAATATTAAAACGGGAGGGTGGCACATGGAATGGGCACACATTCTTGAAATTTCTGCCTTCCAGCTTTTCTGGTTCTCAGGCTGAAACTGGGTAACAAAAAGTGAGAACACACACAAACAAATTTGCATTTGCGTATATGCAAAAGCGCATTAAAATTCACTCATAAAGAAATGGGGATGTAAAACAGGAGGAAATTAAAGTTGTTTTGCAAATATATGTGCATGTTTAAATATATAAGTTAGTTAATACATGTGTATGGATACATGTGTTAGTTAATACAGATAAGAACGTTTCGGTACATTAAGTTGTTTACGTCTTATTCTAATACCCGCAGCGGTTGTGGCAAAAATTTATAAATTTTTTTCAGACAGTGCTTGGGTGAATCGAGCACTGTTTGACGCGCTGACACTGTTGACGGAATGTGTTGCATGTGCATCGAATCGTATTGCACGACGTGGCTACGCATGTCTACGATTCTTGATAAGATCAACAATTCATAAATTGACAAGGGAACGATGGACAATTGTGGTGCGTGCTTTATGGAATGCCACGTAAGCTATTGTTTCTAGCTTGCCGGAACATTCCGACTAACCGCGCCCTATACTCTCTGTGTTTACAGCTAAGGGATGAAACACAGGCAGACCGTTTCCCACATATTCCTCTCCATTTGTCCTCACAACATTTCATACGGTTTTGTGCCACATGAACAGCTCTACTATCTTTTCCATCATAATTTATTAAGCTAACCCTACCCTAGGCCGTTTCGCATTGTTCATGCTTCGGACCGCTCGCTTGTTTCGGAGGTTACGGTTTGGCCTCTCAACGGCCGCAAAATTTTTTTAATAGTCTTGTCCCAGTCTTCATTTTAACCTGCTAGCTCCGGCCGTTCCACATTCCGATTTCTTTGGACCGTCCACTTCTTTCAGGATTGCAATTCGGCCTTCCAGCAGCCGCTGTTAATCGCAGAATATGCTTTGCAAACCATCCAGTTTTGCAAAGAATGAGAATTCGTTGCTAAAATTTGAACAAATTTTTGTGGAGTGGTACCCGAGCAAACATAAATAACCATCTGGGCAGTCTCCAACGAAGTAACGATAAAAAAGTCCAACGGCGGTAGGAAATA